CCCACCCACCCACCCAACCAACCAACCAACCAACCAACCAACCAACCAACCAACCAATAATATTTGTTAAATCAGATATGGAAGGAAGAGTGAAACTTGAGAGTAAATGACAGGAGGGCAGCGGGGAAAACAGGGGGTCAGCTTCAGTGTTAGGAGCTCTTACAGGGTTAAGTTGTTGGTGGATATTGGAAATTTTGTCAGTGAAAAAGGACAAGGACATGAGAGAGTTGTAAAAGTCAGCAGAGTACATGTGGGAGGGAAATGAGTCTGGAGGCTTAGTAATTTTGGCAAACAGTGAAAACAGAGACTTGGAGTTACCTTCGTTAGAACTGATTAAACCAGAGTAGTATGCAGATTTAGCTGAGACAATGCAGTCCTTATAAAACAAAATATGATTGTTATACATTTCTTTGTGTATAGTGAGTCCAGTTTTTTTGAACAGGCAATCCAGTTGGCGTCCCTTGGCTTTGAGAAGACGCAGGTTGAACGTAAACCATGGTGCTGAGCGAGAAAATGAAACAGATCTGTGTTTGAGTGGAGCAAATGTGTTAAGAAGGTTTTGGAGGTGGACATTATAGTAGGAAGTGAGTTCATCAGGGGTTGAAGAGCAGTGAAAAGACAGAAGGTCAAATATAGCAGATGAGAAAATGTCAGGATCAATATCATTAATTTTCGATCAATATCATTAATTTTCCTAAATGTAATGTCACGAAGAGTACAAGTTTTCAAAGCTATTATATTTACATCAAAAGAAATAAACATATGATCAGAAGTGGGAAACAGATTGGCTTTGCAGTGAGTAGGGGTGACCCCAGAACAACAAACCAAATCCAGAATATGACCTTTAGAATGAGTAGGGAATTTGATGTATTGCTGGAGTCCAAAACTATCCAGACAGGAAGTCAAGTCTCTGGTGAGAAGGTTATCGTCATTGTCCATGTGAATATTAAAGTCACCAACAATAATCATATTGGGAGAGAAAACAGAAAGATGAGTGAGAAGAGCAGCAAAGTTATACAAAAAAATCCTTATTTGGCTTCGGTGGTCGATAAACAGTACATAAAATATCCTGATGCATGCATGCATAAAATAGTAGGAGTAGATCCAGGGAGCTGAGATGCAGTGTATTCAAATGAGTTAAAAAGGGGGGCAGAGACTGGGAGGACTTTCCAGTGCTTCCAATGAATTATTGCAAGACCACCGCCCCTTCCCGAGTTGCGGGGGTGACAGATGTAAACAAACTCAGGTGGGGTCGACTCGTTGAGAGAAACAAACTCATTGGGGATCGATTCAGTCAGCAGCTATTTCAATTCAATTCAATTCAGTTCAGTTTATTTCTATAACTCCAAGTCACAACAGAAGTTGTCTCAGGGCACTGAACAGAAATTCATATATTCAATTCAATTCAATTCAAAAATACTTTATTAATCCCAGAGGGAAATTATATGTTGGGTAACTCATCATCCTGGTTTCATTAATGAGTTGTTATAGATGCTGGTGGCTGTGGGCAGGAAGGATCTCTTGTAGCGCTCTGTCCTACAACGGATTTGAAGAAGCCTCTGACTGAAGATACTATGTTGTTGTATGACAGTCTGATGAAGAGGATGCTGAGGGTTGTCTATAATGTTCTTCATTTTATGAAGAATCCTTCTTTGAACAATCATCTCCAAAGGTTCTAGAGGAGTCCCCAGAACTGAGCCAGCCTCCTTTATGAGCTTGTTGATCTTTTTTAAGTCACTTGCTCTGGTGCTGCTCCCCCAGCAGATGATGGCAGAAGAGACAGCACTCTCTACAACAGACTTATAGAAGATATGCAGCATCTTGCTGCAAACACTGAAGGACTTCAGCTTCCTCAAGAAGTACAGTCTGCTCTGTCCCTTCTTGTAGATGGCTTCACTGTTGCATTTCCAGTCCAGTCTGTTGTCCAGGTGAACTCCAAGGTATTTATACTTCTCCACCACCTCCACTTCTTCTCCCATGATGAAAATAGGGTTGGATCTGTTCCTGATTCTCCTGAAATCTACAATCATCTCCTTTGTTTTGTTCACATTCAAGATGAGAGGATTGTTTCCACACCATGCCACAAAGCGGTCCACCAGTTCCCTGTACTCAGCTTCTTGTCCATCTCTGATACACCCGACTACTGAAGAGTCATCAGAATATTTCTGCAGATGACAGGAGTCTGTTTTGTACTGGAAATCTGAGGTGTACAGAGTGAAAAGGAATGGGAGAGTACAGTCCCCTGTGGTGCTCCTGAGCTACTGACCACCTGGTTAGACACACAACCCTTCAGTCTCACAAACTGTGGTCTGTCCGTCAGGTAGTCTTTGATCCAGGCGATTGTTGAGGCCTCCACCTGAGTCTTCTGGAGTTTCTGACAAAGCAAATCAGGCTGGATTGTGTTAAATGCACCGGAGAAATCAAAGAACATGACTCTTACAGTGCTGTCTGCCTTTTCTAGATGACAGTGAGTTTGCTGAAGCAGGTGTATGATGGCATCTTCAACTCCAAGTCCACGCTGATAAGCAAACTGCAGTGGGTCCTGATATGTGCTTGTTTGTCTAGTCAGGTGGGTCAGCAGAAGTCTCTCTAGGACCTTCATGATGTGGGATATATATATATATATATATATATATATATATATATATATATATATA